ACTTGGAACCCTCAATGTCAAAGCAAAAGAGGAAGGCCAAGGAACAAATTACGCCGAGTAAAAGAAAAAGATATGAGAAGAATGAACAAAAACTGCGTAGAACTGCAAACGGAAAGTCAAAGACAGAGTAGGTTGGAGAATACTAGTCAATGACCTATACTCCATTCGAGGTAACAAGAGTAAGTAGAAATAAATGATACATATTATTACTTACTTACAAATGTTTAACTAACAAACAAACCTGTATGGTTATAACAATTTATACTCAAATAATTTTAAAGAATGTATTAGATTAATGTAAACTTAACCAGTTATTGTTTTTTTTTTTGATTTTTGTTTAACTAATAATTTAAACTTATCACCAGCTTGAACTTGTTGATAATTTATTAAACTCAAAATTGAAATGCTTTTTCAAACTACTCTCCTATATAATATATTTATGTGTATGTATGACTCATTTTCATCAGTCATATTCATGTAAAATTCGTCATCACACTCATCATCATGGCCAACATCGTCAACACCTGTGAGTGTAGTAATAAAATAACATGAACAATTGATATCATAAATAGATAATCTATAATTTGTAAATTAATTCGAATCGATTTGACCAATGCACATGTTGTGTTCGTTATAGCTGATATTCTTCGAAATTCACTACTAATATGAAAAATTGACTACACAAATAGATAAATATTCATCATCATCATACAAAATTACACACACAAACACACACACACACACCTGTTTAGTTGATTAATATCAACCAATATGAATCATTTTGTAAAAGTTAAGATTCTATTTTTATTTAGTAATCAAAAAAAAAACAAGTCAATTGTAGAAGAACGAACCAATCAGAATCAGAGAATATGACTATGTTGGCTTTATGTGGTACTACACATAATATTTAAAAATGTGTAGGAGAAATAATTATTGCATTACAAGGTTGTGAAGATTGTTAAGCTACAAATTTGAAATCATGAATTGATCAATGTTGGACCGCTGTTAGAAACCTGGCAGCACTGTAAGACGGCCGTTTCGTTCTGGTATGATACTTACTACTAATCAGCAGTGCGCATCCCAGACTCTTGCACCGCGCAGTATTCGAACCCAGGACCTTCGGTTTTCGCGCGTGCACGCCTAGACCTCTGGAGCACTGAGTTTCTATCTAACGGTGTTAATGTCTAACTTCTCCGAGTTCTAGTAGGAAGTCGTGATCAGTGAAGTTCAACCTGTTTGGCTGTAAACAGTAACTACCGAAGATTGTGTATGAGGTTGCGCAACTCCGTGAATTGACCAAGTTAGACATTAACACTGTTAGGTGCCGGCTCAGTAGTTCAGAGATTAGGCGTTCATGCGCAAGACTAAAGGTCCTGTGCAGGAGTCGTGGATGCGTACTGCTGATGAATCGTATACCAGGACAAAACAGCCATCCAGTGCTTCCAGCTTTCTAATGGTGGTCTAACATTGATCGATTCATTGTTTCAAAAATGTGTAACTTAATATTCTTCACAACCCTGTAATGCAATAATTATTTCTCCTACACATTTTTAAATATTATCTGTAGTACCACATAAAGCCAACACAGTCATATTCTCTGATTCTAATTGGTTCGTTCCTCTGTAATACACTTCTTTTATTTTTACCAAACTTCAATAAAATGAAAATAGATTCGAAAAATTAAAATCTTAACTTGATGATTTGAAATAATCATTGTATAATGCTCAGAACATCTATAATAATAATAATAATCATAAAAAAATTACTGTTTCCTACTGTAGTTATAATCTGATAACGTTAAATATATCAGATGGTTAGTTATTCATCATTCAAATCGATTATCCGCAAATGCTAACCCTTAACGTTTGTTTCTGAAATGAAATAAGTAGGCAGTACTTTTTAGATTTTTTTTGGTAAACCTCATTCATCCAGGTGGTTATAGAGTGCATTCGCAATAGAGTTGATGTCAATTTTTGTGATAAAATTCATAAACTCATAAGTCTAAACAAGAATTATTTTAAAACTCTTCAAAAATCTACCGGAATTCTTATAAAGGTCTCAGGCAACAGATAATCGATAAACGTGTAGATGAATTTACGTCGTTGACTTTTTCAATTTACAGACAGTGTAACCTGTAGAGAATTTAACCAGATTCACTAACTATACATATGTGTAAAACATATATATATATATATATATATATATATATATATATATATATATATATATATATATATATATACAAATATCTGTTTTTTCTTAAACTATCCATTTAAAAACTGTCTTCCGATTATTTAAGAACTAGCAGAAATTTCTTCAAGGCTATCATAGTCTCATCCTGTTGATATACATTCTTACTGAAAGTATTATTATACATTCCGCAGTTATTTTTAAGCATGGTATGACAGTAGACAACAGTAGAATCTAGAGTATGTTGTATGAACCTGAAAATGAATTATGAAGAGAATTTTTGCTGTAGATAAAAAGTGAAATGAATATGTATATCAGTGCATATATATATATATATATATATATATATATATATATATAACAGACAGAATATGGTTAGTAGCGGGATCCTGGATGAGTTTCATCCAAACTGACACTGTCTAAGTGAATTTACCTGCTCCTCAAATAATGTTGTTCACTCTTGAACTGAAAAACCAATACCTTACTCCCGATACTCCATCATGTCATTCAATAAATAACTGATTTTAGTTAGCCAATAATTTGTGCAACAGGTATGATTCTTATCCTATTCTGTAATAGTTGGAATTATCCCATTATTGATATATTCATTGAAAGTTACTATGTTCCAATTCTTAGATCTAAGTGTTTTTCACTTGCCTCATTCAAAAATAAAACAAAACACACTTCTTGTATTCTATGATTATTGATTTTCAAAAAGCTTTATAAAAACTTCTGTCATAATGATTACTTCACAATAAAACTGTGCATTTCTCAACCGAAACTGATCAAAATTCAATTTAAAAATACTAGCAACAACAAGATAATTTTCGGGCAGAATTTTGGAAGTTTTTGTTTTTACACACATTTGAAATCATCAATCAATCAGCGTTAGAAATCTGTATGGGTATGGTATGGGACTACTCATCAGCGGCAGTGCGCATCCATGACTCCTGCTCCTCGCAGGATTCGAACCCAGGACCTTCGATATCGTGCGCGAACGCCTAACCATCGGACCACTGGACCGGCCGGCATCCAACACTGTTAATGTCTAACTCTGATTAATCTAGGAATTTTACGCGATCTCACCCATTCCTCTTTGGTAGTTACTGCCTACACCCGACAAGGTCACAAAATAATTGAGAAATCATTTTTTTAAAAATTAAAATCAGTACACATTTAAGTGATACCGTGAATGTAGTAGAATGTAGACTTTTATATTGTTATTTGTAATGTTGTTCACTGTTTAAATTATCTTTGCATCAGACTAGTAGAACTTTCTAATTAATAACAAATTTATATATCTTTATATAGTAGTTTTCATTGAATAATACTCATTACATAGAATAATAATTGTAACTGTTCTATTACAGTCATGAATATAGTGGTTTTGTACTTAGGAGGCTACTGAACAATGTATATATCTATATATATAGTCACCTAATTACACAATCATGTACAATTACTTTGATATGATTCATAACTTAACGTCTTGAAACATATTTAACTACATTGCCCCCGTATATATATATACGTATGTATATGTGGTATGAAGCAATTAATATACAAAGTCTGCCGACATTCTTTGTCGGTCAGATTATTCTTATTCCTTGTATGTTATTTTCTTCCGGTTAAATGTTTGAAGATTCTGTTATTGTATTATGAAAACTGTTAGTATTCAATAAAGAAAATCAATTATAATTCCTTTTTTACATAAATTAAAAGTATGATCAAGCAGCAATATTAAATGAAAAATTCTCTTTGCTTTTGAAATGATGTATATAGCTTGAATTGATTTTTCTGGCTGGCGTTTTTTTTGTTAGCGAGTAAGTTTCCTACAGGATGAGGTCACTAATCCCATGCCCAACTTTCCTCCTTTGTCCGGGCTTGAGACTGGAAGTAACCCCAGAGAGGCTCCAGGCGGAGTTAAATAGTGTATAAAGTAGAATTGAAATGATATATATTTATATATTCATGATCGCGTTGTGAAGATTGTTGAATTTCATTGAAATTCTGAATTGATCAATCTTAGGCCAACATCATTAGAAACCTAGAAGCACTGAAAGGCCATTTCAACCTGGTATGATGATAGTCATCAATTCATGATTTCAAAAGTAACTCAATAATCATCTATACAACCTAGTAATGCGAATTATCATGTTCTCACTAGTGACCAACTTGGTGGGGAAGTTTATCTAAGTTCTAGTGAGAAGTCGTCAATCCAGTTCAGATGTATAGCAATGTTCAACAAAAACAGTGGATACCAGCTCACTTGTCCAGAGTTTAAGCGTTCGAGTGCAAGGCCGAAGGTCCTAGGTTCGAATCCTGTGAGTAGTAGGAGTAGTAGATACGCACTGTCGATGAGTCTCATCACAGGACAAAAATTGTCTTCCCGGTTTTTTTTAATGGTAGTTTAACATTGGTCAATTTGTAATTTCAAATATTTTAACTGATCATAATGTAGTGAAGGAGAACACAGTTGAGGGCTACCGAGTTAACTGGTAAAATAGAAAAACCATATCGTATATTGTTAATTTGCAAAATATCAATCCATTATATCGAACTGGACTGTTCCTGTTGCAAAACATCAATCCATTGTCTGACATTTCACCACTGTTCATGCGTTTCATACAAATCCCATTGTGTTCCCACTCTTCCTTTCTTGATCTTCCCCCATTTTCTACTGCCAGACATTACGTATTTACTCACATCATATACTACTTATAAGTAGCGCGCACCACAATAATAATTGTAAATGTACAAACTCATTACTAATAAAAGTATATGTATATATAATATTTTCTTTCTTCTAGGGTTGTCTTATCGCTTTAGCATGTTTTGATGAACACCCTACACTACAATCATTCATTGATATATTCATTGCATTAGCACCAGCTGCTTATCTTGGTTCAATTAAAAGTCCTATACGTTATATTGCACCATTAATTAAAACAGTTGAACCAGTTGTTGAATGGTTTGGAAATGGTGAATTTTTACCTTCAGGAAAAATTATGCAATTTTTAGCATCATTATTATGTAAACCAAATCATATACCATTTGTATGTACAAATATCATTTATTTACTTGCTGGATATGATGAGAGAAATACGAATGTGGTAAGTTGTTGATTATGAATAAAAGTATGTAGTTATGTTTTTTTCGGGGGGGGGAGGGGGAGATTTGTTTTTTTATACATTTGAAATCATCAATCAATCATTGTTAGACCACACCATTAGAAGAAACCTGGGAGCACTGAAAGACGGCCGTTTCGTCCTCGTATGGGACTACTCATCAGTGACAGTGCGCATTCACGACTCCTGCACATCGCGGACTTCGAACCCGGGACCTTCGGTACTGTGCGCGAACTCCTAACCATCCGACCACTGGACCGGCATCCAACGGTGTTAACGTCTAACTCTGAAAATGTTTACAAAATATTCATTTGATATCATATTTTTTAAGTGATCACTTATATTATTAGGTAATTATTCAGATGGCAATGGATTAGGGTGATTATATTTTGAGGAAGTTCATTTCATGAAATCTTATACCTATCTATTCAGTATCTGCATTCAAATATGAGAAGTTAAATGCATTACTTACTTACTTACTTATGCCTGTTAACCAGCATTCTCCAACTTATTCTTTCCTGGGCCTTCTTTTCCAGTTCTATCCAATTGCTGTTCATTCATCTCATGTCTGTCTCCATTTCTCAGCATACTGTGTGACTTGGTCTTCCGATCTCACTTTGACCTTGAGGGTCCCATATGAGGTCTTGTCTTGTGCAGCAGTTGGGTGCTTTCTGCAATGAGTATCCTATCTACTTTCACCGATTCTTCCCGATTTCCTCCTCCACTGGAATCTGATTTGTTCTCCCCAACAGTAGGTTGTTGCTGATGGTGTCTGGTCAACGTACCGAAGTATTTTACTTGTATCTTGTTGATGATGGCTCTGGTAGTTCTCCAAGTTTCCATCGCATACAGTAGAACTGTCCTGACATTTGTATTGAAAATTGTGACTTTGATGTTTGTTGATAGTTGTTTTGAGTTCCAGCTTCAGAGCAACTCCTTGTAAGTGTGAGGCATTTTCTTCAAGGCCAGAGGATAACAGCAACTCTCTTGAAGCTACTCCTAGTTGTCCAATCTGCGTTCAATGTGTTTGACTGATTCCGAGCACCTTCAGGTTGTATCTTCTCATCTCTACAGTAATTCGGAACAGTTTTCCGGTCTCCCACAATGTTCGAACATTCCATATATCCAAAAGAATGGTTACTTTGTTTGTCAGAATGAGCATCGGCTTCGTGACTTCCGAAGGAATCCAGCTTTCATTATGAGGCGTCATAACTCTTCTGAAAGACGATCTTTTAACTCCCAGGGTATGGTTTGAACTGATTTTTCTGGTTAGCATTCTTTTAGCAAGTTAGTTTTCCACGAGTTGGGATTCCCAACCCCATGCTCAAATCTCCTCCTTTATCTGCGCTTGGGACCGGTAGTAGCCCCATAAGGGCTTCAGGCGGGGTTAATTAACACGGATTACATGTACTTAGTTCTTAATTACCTACAGACACACTGTTCTCATGTCATGGAACCAATAAGTAAACTTAAAAACGATATACTTCTAGATTCGAGTAAATTTATGTGTTGCAAACCTAATTATCATTAAAATTTCAATTGAAATTTCTAAGGTGTTCCAATAAGAAATATTAGGCTTCCTACTGAAATCCATGAATATAAGTACTAATTCATGAAAACTTGTTATATAAGTTGTCATTAACAAACAGTATCGAACAGAAATATTAACTGTAAACAATTTTATGAACATAGAAATAAAGCAAAATGTTTATTTCCTGTTCTTTTAATTGATATAAACCTTTTGATATATCAAATATATATACATGAAATATGATTAGCATTGAAATCCAAGACATGCACTTACTCATCAGCTAGATGTATCTTAATTTCTAAGTTGATGTTCACTCCCGAACTCGAACGCAGCACCATTTACTCTACGCACAATCGAGTTATCTGCTTAACTAGTGAGTTCAAATAGCAGCAGCGACTCACTCAACTAAATAAGATCACATTTTTGAAACCATGAATCGATCAATGTTAGACCACCATTAGAAACCTGGAAGCACTGTACGGCTGTTTCGTCCTGGTATGAGACTCATCGGCAGTGTATATCCATGACTCATGTACCCCTCAGGATTCGAACCCAGGACCTTCGGTATTGTGGGCGAACGGCCTAACCGTTAGACCACTGAGCCGGTATCCAATGGTGTTAATGTCTAACTTGATCAAATTCACGAAGTTGCGCAACCTCATAGACACCGTCTTCGGTAGACACTGCCTACAACCGAACAGGTTGAACTTCACTGGTCACGTCTTCCCACTAGAACTCGGAGAAGATTCTTCACGAAGCTAGTCTAACATTGATCGATTCATGGTTTCAAAAATGTGTAACTTAACAATCTTCACAATCCCGTAATGTAAATAAGATCAGTCAATGTAATTGTAAATTGAGAGAATAAACATTTCTTAACATTTAAACAACAACTTTTCTATTAAAATAAAAACAATACGAGAAAAAAAATTTTTATCTGATATACCTACCAATTTCAAAAACTGTGATTATCAATGAGAAATCAAGACATTATAATTGACAATAATTATTTAATTTCAATACATTCACTTTCATTATTATTATTATTATCATTATTATTATTATTATAATGATAAAAATTTTTTTTAAAAAAAATTGAAAATTAATGTACTCGTGTGTTTATATTGACAATATGAATGTATGTATGACCTTGGAGTCCGATAAAATACATATATATATATCATGCCATATTGAACATTTCAAATTTAACATAGAATATCAGACTCTAATTATTATTATTATTATTATTATTATTATTATTACTGTTCTCTACACACACACACACTCTATCTCTCTATCTCTCTCTATCTATCTATCTGTCCATATGCATATATATCTATATTTATATATATATAGAGATAAATTCAGGACAGAAAATAGTTATTTATTTTAAATGAAAGTTTTTAATTTAAAAATAAAAAAATACGTATTAAGTTGAACATTTTCTATGCTTTACTAAACACCATAATACACACATCACTCCATCTGTTCGATTTTTGTAGCTTAACAATTCTAGTGATTTGTTACAGGAACACTTGATTGTGATTTAGAGTTTGTATATATATTTATATATATATATAGAAATTTTTTTATCTCAAAGCAATATATATATATATATGAAAATATAAAGTTACTACTTATATAGTGTAACAAAATAAAAATTCAATAGATATGTAAGTATTTTTTTATCATGATCAAAAATCAAAAAAACTCTTAGAAAATAAATGTACTTACTTACTTACGCCTGTTGCTACCCCCAATGGAGCATATATGGTGCGAGCTACTTATAAGTAGTATATGACGTGAGTGTCAACGTAATGTCTGGCAGCAGAAGATGGGGGAAGATCAAGAAAGGAAGAGTTAGAAAACAATGGAATTTGTATGAAACGCATGAATAGTAGTGACAATGGATTGATGTTTGGCAACAGGAACAGTCCAGTTCGATATGATGGATTGATATTTTGCAAATGAACGATTTACGATATGGTTTTCCAATTTTACTGAGTAACTCTAGAGGATGGAGATGTGCGGAGCTTCCTGAAGGAGTTCGAGGCCGTGCGGGAGCTGGTGGGGGTGGAGGAACCGAAGGCGAAGTTGGTGGTGCTGGGGACGCTGCTGAGAGGAATGCCGTATATGACAGCTTGGACGGTGCTGGCGGGAAGACGCCATGGGAGACGGTCATTGGGCGGCTGATGGTCGAGTTCGACAGCCCGGTGGACAGGTAGGAGGCGTTGCAGAAGTTCTGGTTGGCGAGGCTGTCGGCTGATGGTGACCCTCTGGTGCTTGCTGTTGAGCTCACAAGGTTGCTGCTCCGTGCGTTGCCGACTATCGATGAGGAGTCGGAGGCACAATTGTTAGCGTCGCAATTTATTGAGAGTGTACCTGCCGCCGTGTCCCAGCAGCTGAGATTAGTAAATGCAGCACAACCTATGGACATCGGTGAACTGGGGAAGGAGACTCGTCAGCTGATGATACGAACGGTAGCTCAGTAAAGTTGGAAAACCATATCGTAAATCGTTAATTTGCAAAATAACAGTCCATCATATCGAACTGGACTGTTCCTGTTGCAAAACATCAATCCATTGTCACTATTCATGAGGCGTTTCATACAAATTCCATTGTTTTCTAACTCTTCCTTTCTTGATCTTCCTCCATCTTCGGCTGCCAGACAATACGTTGACACTCACGTCATATACTACTTATAAGTAGCTCGCACCACACATAGGCCGCCGACCAATTTTATCCAACCACCTACTCTGTCCTGGGCTTCCTTCTCCAGTTCTGTCCAATTTTTGTTCATTCTTCTCATATCTTCACACTTATTACTGAGTTGAACTGGAATAGATTTTTAAATTATGTTAACAAACTAAATAGTGTTTAGAAATATAACAAATAAACACTACCTACTTATTTACTTGTGCCCCCCGGTTGGAGTATAGGCTGCTAACTAGCATTCTCCCCCTCAGCTTACTCTTTCTCACGGCCAATTCTATCCAGTTGCCGTTCATTCTTTCATTCATGTCTGTCTTCAACTTTCCGATCTTCTTCTTTTCTTTTGATCTTGAGAATGATGAATTTTTGTGAATGAGCAGATTTGATATGTGTAATTTCTCAGTCGAACTAAACATTTGTTTACAACTGTTACCTTATTTTATCCATATTAATAAGTATTAAAAAGTTATTTGGCTGTCGGAAAGCAATCAAACACATAGTATTCATTACAGAGTTATAAGGATTGTTGTTTTTGTTAGAAACCCTGAATCGATCATTGTTAGATAACCACTAGAAACCCGGAAGGACTGGAGGGCCAAGTTTTAGTGAGAAACCGTGATCAGTGTAGTTCAACCCTGTCGGGTGTAGGCAGTAACTACCAAAGACAAATGGATGAGGTCACGCAAAATCTCTAGATTGATCAAAGTTAGACATGAATATCATTAAATGCCAGCTCAGTGGT